AGGTGATCTGCCCACCTCGGCCTTCCAAAGTGCTGGGATTCACAGGCATGAGCCACTGCACCTGCCCTTTAATTTTTTAATTGATAAATAACATTATCAATTAAATTGTTTATATTTATGGGATACAATGTGATTATGTGATATATGTTTACATTGTGGAATGATTAAATCAAGCTAACTAACAAATTCCTTACCTTGCATACTTATTTTTTGTGGTGAAAACATTTGAAATCTACTCTTTTAGCAATTTTGAAATGTTAGATACGTTATTATTATTGTGGTCACCATCCTGTGCAATAGACTATAAAGCTCATTCCTCCTTTCAAAGCTAAATTCTTGTACTCAGCATCTCCCTCTCTGCTCTCCACCCTCCTCTGTCCACCACTTATCACCACCATTCTACAGTCTACTTCTGTGAGTTCCAGCCTTTTAGATTCCACAAATAAGTGAGGTCATTTTCGGTATTTGTCGTTCTGTGCCTGGCTTATTTCACTTAGCATAATGTCCTCCAGGTTCAGTTTGTACTTAAAATTCATGATACTTACAGATTATGATACAGCACCTTATAAACAGTAAGTGTGCACATTTCTGACTGCCTGATATTACTGACTTCCTGACACTGAGTTGCTGATTATATTTCTCATAGTGTATTTTGTCTCTCTACACTTAGAAGAATTGAGCCGGTACTTACAGAAGAGTACTGTGTAAATTAATAGGATGGATTAGACATTTTTAATAGTCCACTCAGACCATTGAGATGAGAGTACTGACCTCTGAATATTGTAACAATAATGAAGACGAGCTTTGATCATCATCACTGGAAGAACTTAGTGTTAAATGTTTGGCACCCTTCTTCCATTTTAATTTGCATTTGTGATGAAAGGAAGTTTCTGGGTAGTGCTTATCTTTCACTTTGGACTCTGACATGTTTTCATGTTAGCCTAATAAGTAGCCGTGACTCATAAGGTGTCACCTTCAGTCTCTAAGAAGGAGGCCAGGTTTCTTGTAGATCTTGTCATATTGCCGTTTGGAATTTACCTGGAGGGAACAAAGTCAGGTGCAATTGCATTGTTTAGATGAAAGTCTTACTCAGGCTTAGCAGAGGCAGGAGGGCAGGGTGGACTGTCCTCATTCTGTCTAGCCTTTGTTTTCCACCTCTGTTCTGAAGATTTTTCTCTGAACTGTATCTTAAGCAGAGATGACAGTTGATCACAGAGTTTCCCCTAATTCCCAATTTCTGGCTGATTCCTAAAATTTCATCAGTATCAAGAACGTAATTTATTCATACAAATTGTATTACTCGGCCGAGCTCCGTGGCTCATGCCTATAATCCTAGCACTTTGGGAGGCCGAGGTGGATGGATCACGAGGTCAAGAGACGGAGACTATCCTGGTCAACATGGTGAAACCCCGTCTCTACTAAAAATACAAAAATTAGCTGGGCATGGTGGTGCGCGCCTGTAGTCCCAGCTACTCCGGAGGCTGAGGCAGGAGAACTGCCTGAACTCAGGAGATGGAGGTTGGGGTGAGCCGAGATCGTGCCTATTGCACTCCAGCCTGGCTAACAAGAGCGAAACTTTGTCTCAAAAAAAAAAAGGCTGGGCGCGGTGGCTCAAGCCTGTAATCCTAGCACTTTGGGAGGCCGAGGTGGGTGGATCACGAGGTCAAGAGATCGAGACCATCCTGATCAACATGGTGAAACCCTTTCTCTACTAAAAATACAAAAATTAGCTGGGTATGGTGGTGTGTGCCTGTAATCCCAGCTATTCGGGAGGCTGAGGCAGAATTGCTTGAACCCAGGAAGTGGAGGTTGTGGTGAGCCAAGATCGCGCCATTGCAGTCCAGCCTGGGTAACAAGAGTGAAACTCCGTCTCAAAAAACAAACAAAAAAACCAAATTGTATGACTCAAAAAAAATACAAATATCCCTGCAGGGGGTTGAAAAGTCAACATCTAAATGATGGCAGTGACGGCCTGTCTGGACTGACTGCTGCCATGACGCTGGCTGCAGTGGGGGAGGCGTGGCCTGGGCCCCACGTACTCCATGGAGCCAGTGGGAGCTGGGAATAGGTGGAAGCCCTGCCCTCTTCTGAGTTGGCAGGGTGGGAGCGGCCATGGCTGCATACCCAGGCATCCCTGTGCTTTTGGGGGCCCAGGAACCTTCCCTGCCCCTGCAGACTTAGAAGTGCCGGCTCCCACTGCCTGGCCCCTCCATGCTCCTGGTGCCCACTCTGATTTTGGAGCAAGGTTGAGGCCAAGGCTGGGCACCGTCATGCCCTGGCTGGGTGTGTGCATGTTAAGGGCAGCACTGACACGCCAGCCCACTGCTGCCTTGTTCCGCTCTGGATTTTGGTGTCCAGGAGCACAGAAGGGAGGCCAAGGCAGGGGTTGAGGGCAACTCCACGCAAGCCTGCAGGCACCCCTTGGCACAAATAGCCTGGGCACTGTGGATGGCAGGTTGATGGCAGCAGGAGGCAGACAGGCTTCCTAGTCAGAAATGGGTGGGTCCCTCATGAAGCCCCACCTTCAAGCTAGGGATGACATGAAACCTGGGGCCCAGGCTGCCAGCAGTTCTGTGGACTGGAGTGAGAGCTTATGGTGCTTTTTCCAGTCTGCCCATGGCCACCCATGGACCAGTCAGCATGCACGTCCTCCCCTCTGTAGCCCATAAAAACCCCGGATTCAGCCGGACTTGACAGGCTGACCTGCCTGTAGATAGGAGCTGTCCACTCTGGGTCTCCTCTCTGCTGAGGACTGCACACATGCTGGGCTGACCTCCTGTGGAATGGAGCTACCCACTTTGGGTCTCTTGAGAGCTATTGTGTTGCTCAATAAAGGACCACTTCACATTGCTCACCTCCAGTTGTGTGTGTACCTCATTCTTCCTGGACACGAAACAGGAACTCAGGATCCACCAAACGGCGGGACTGAAAGAGCTGTAACACAAACAGAGCTGAAGCATGCCCCCCACTCCCCCTCCCCCTCCCCCACCCACTTGCCATGTTGTGAGCAAGAGAAGGAGAGAAGAGAGAAGGAGAGAGAGAAGAGCTGCAGTCCTTTGGGAAGCCCAGACCTAGGAGTTCCCTGAGCTAGGGCTGGGACACCCTCTTTGGAGCTCCATGGTTCCTGGCACCACCATGTTCCCCAGTGCTGCAGTGGAAGCTGCTTCTGGTATACCTAGTCCAGCCTCAGCCTCTCAGGAAGCTGGCGCCTGGAGCTGCCTACCCCCTTGCAGCTAGGGTGCCTGGCTATTGCTCACACACCCCTTGCTGCTCTGCACCTGGCTCGCCCTCTGCATGTATGGAATCGGTGCCGGTAACACGAGCAGAGCACAGCCTGCCAGACCAGAAGGGTAGAAGGAGCCTGGCAGGCCCAAGCAGAACTTGGGCAGAGGCGCCACTGGCCACAGAGGTTTCTGGCTGGTGAAGCGACACGCCAAGTATTCTGTGGTAAAAACATGAAATATAGAATATTCAGAACTTTGCTGTAATAGCTAGTTGCTAGAAACTGTCTGCTAAGTGAGACAATAATGAAAAAGTTTTCCTTTGGGGGAAGGAGAATCCTGGAGGGGTTTTAATAGCTGGAAACTGTGAAGCAGCTTGAGGTGTCAAGATCCCAAAAGAGGAAAGGGAAATGAGTACTGAGAAAAGGGGAAGGGCCAGATGCAGTGGTTCACATCTGTGATCCCAGCACTTTGGGAGGTCGAGGTGGGTGTATCACCTGAGGTCAGGAGTTCAAGACCAGCCTGGCCAACATGATGAAACCTCGTCTATACTAAAAATACAAAAATTAGCTGGAAGTGATGGCAATCTCAGCTACTCAGAGGCTGAGGCAGGGGAATTGCTTGAACCCAGGATGTGGAGGTTGTAGTGAGCCAAGATCATGCCACTGCACTCTAGCCTGGGTGACAGAGTGAGACTCGTTCTCAAAAATAAATAAATAAATAAAATGGAAAGAAAGGGAAGGACATTTAAAAAATGCATTATGCTGATCCTAGCTATTCTGGAGGCTCAGGTGGGAGGATTGCTTAAGCTCAGAAGTTTGAGGCTACAGTGTGCTATGATTACAACTGTGAGTAGCCACTGCACTCTAGCCTGGACAACATAGAAAGACCCAATCCCTTAAAAAAGTAAATAAAAACTATTATGCTACTCAGAGTGTTCATAGAACTAACCCTGGTGGAGTGGCCACTGAAATCTGTAGAGCATTCAGAGTTAAGAAATCAACTGGGTACTGTTGCTCATGCCTGTAATCCCAGGTCTTTGGGAGTTTGAGACAGGAGGATCACGTGAGGCCAGGAGTTCAAGACCACCCTGAGTAACATAGTGAGGCCTATAGCTAAGTGTGGTGGCATGTGCTACAGGCAGCCTCCCAGCTACTTGGGAGGCTGGGGCAAGAGGATCACCTGAGCTAAAGAGGTTGAAGCTGCAGTGAGCCAAGATCATACTGCTACGCTCCACCCTGGACAGCAGAGTGAAACGCTGTCTTAAAAAAAAAAAAGATTACAGTTAAAAAAAAAAAATCCACGTTTTGTTAAGCCAGGACTTGGTGAGAGCCCCCACTTCACAAAAAGCTCTTTTCTCTACCTGCACCAATCACACCTTCACATTGCCTTACACCCATCATTCCGATATCTGGAGGGTACTGGAAGAGTCTACATAGCCATCTGTCTCAGCCAAATCATTCCAGTCTTTTGCGCGCAGCCAGGATTTAAGATTAGCAGTTAGTAGGCAGGCTGCGTTGTGAGGGGGAATGACTTCTGACTTCAGGCAATTCCTTGTGGCCATCGTTCCACAGAGAGCCATCACAGTGTTTCCACTACAGCCTGTGTTTTGTGAAGCTTCATGGTTTTTGCTAGACGCCACTGGCTCATCTTGGTGAGGCACATGCTATAGAATTGATATTTGCTGAGTATATCAATGTCGACATCTCTGAAATACTGGGGACAAACTTTTTTTCCACCTTAATGAGGACAAAATTTCTGCTCACTTTCTATGACCAGTTAAAAGAAGATGGATGCACAGTGTTCACCCAAAGTCAATGCAAGGAAGAGGAGAAAAGAGGCACCCGGGCCCAATGGGGCAGCAGAGGAAGATGGGATTCCTTCCAAAGTGCAGCGCTGTGCAGTTGTAAGTAGAGTTTCATTGTTGAACCTTTCACCCGGCGGGGGAGAGACATTGACGGTATCAGTGTTACAAGTCTTCTTAAATAATGAAAAGAATGAATAGTAAGTGTATTTTCACAGTCACTGGAAATCTTATGCCTTTTTACTAGATTATGACTTAGCTCAGTTGTAGAAGCTTTATGATGGATTTAGAAAAAGAAGTCTTAGGAAAATATGGAAGTTGCATATGTATTAGGCTCAAGATCAAATTAAAACTATTGAAATATGGACAGGCATGGTGGCCCACACCTGTAATCCCAGCACTTTGGGAGGCTGAGGTGGGCAGATCACCTGAGGTCAGGAGTTCGAGACCAGCCTGGCCAACATGGTGAAACTCCATCTCTACTAAAAATACAAAATTAACCGGATGTGGTGGCCGGTGCCTGTAATCCCAGCTACTGGGGAGGCTGAGGCAGGAGAATTGCTTGAACTCAGGAGGTGGAAGAGGCAGTGAGCCAAGATCATGCCATTGCACTCCAGCCTGGACAACAGAGACAGACCCTGTCTCAAAAAGAAAAAGAAAAATGAAAAAGAAGTAAATAAATAAAACGAATGAAATAGAAAAATTGGGGCTCTAGGCAGTGATTCAGTGTTTGTATCATTTCATGGTGTCCAGTGCATCTTTACAACTGTTTTTTCTTCCTGTGTCATTCCTCTGCTTCATTGTTAGTTGTATCTTAGATGAGAACCTTTTTCCATTTACGCTCCTTTATCTCTGGAAAATTATCTTTGTATTTCCTAATCATTGCCAAACCTTAGATGGAAGACCCCATTTCACACTGCCTATCCTGTCTCAGCTTGCTACCCTTCCTAAAACTGCATGATAAAAACATGGCAGAGAGCACTTAATACACAACGCAATTGAAGTTACTGTTGTTAAACAGCATTATGAAATCTGTATTTCAAAACCCCAGTGACACAACTGCATGTTTCGTTACCTATATTGACCATTGGCCATTGATCAAACTGCTGTTTCCACTGGTTAGTTCTGGAACTTCCCAGCCCGAAAGGAAACGTCTATTCTGAAACAATAGTTACTCCAATAGTTACTCTATCTTAGGCAATAAAAGCAAGTAATACCCCACAAATAGGCATGTGCCTGCAGGGCCGGTACTGCTAATAAGGGCAAGTGTATCGTTGCCTGTTGCATTTATAACAAATGACCATAACAGTAGTGACTTCAAGACAAATGAATTATCTTAAAGTTCTGGATATCAGAAATCTGAAATGGGTCTCAGAGGGCTAAAATCGGGGTGTTGGCAGAGCTGGAGATTCTGGGGGAAAATCCATCTTCTTGCTTTTTCCAGCTTCTAGAGGCTTCCCACATTGCTTAGCGCTTGGGTTACATCAGCCAGTGATTTCATCACTCTGACCGTTGCTTCTGCCATAGCTCCTTCTCTGATTCTGAATCTCCTGCTTCCCCTCTTCACTTACAAGGACTCCTGTGTTACATTAGATATACCCAGATAAACCAGAATACTCTTCCTGTCTTGCAATCCTTTAATTATATCTGCAAAGCCTCTACTATTTTTATTTTTATTTGTATTTTTGAGACAGAGTCTTGTTCTGTCCCCCAGGCTGGAGTGCAGTGGCGTGATCCCCATTCACTGCAACCTCTGCCTCTTGGGTTCAAGTGATTCTCCTGCCTCAGACTCCCAAGTGGCTGGGATTACAGGTGCCCACCACCATGCCTGGTTTACTATTTTTATTTTTAAAGTCAGGATCTTGCTATATTGCCCAGGCTGGTCTTGAACTCCAGAGCTCAAGCAATCTTCCTGCCTTGGCCTCCCAAAGTGCTAGGATTACCGGCTGTGAACCACTATGCCTGGCATGCAGAGTCTCTTTTGCTATGTATGGTAAAACAGTCACAGGTTCCAGTGGATGGATGTGGACGTCTGTAGGAGGCCATTATTCTGCATACTGTATGTGGTCTTTTGGGGCTCACAAATAAGCTCGGAAAGTGACTCAGCAGTCAACAAAACTGGGCATTGTTAATTTCTGAGTATTTCCTAGAGAATTCAGATGAGAGAGATGGTGGTGTGTACCAAGTCAGCAACATCACTTGGAGTAGGAACAAGTTACAACCAAATCACTGTAGCTAGGAGTAGAGCAAAGGAAGCCAGTCTTTTTAGTGGAATTAGCTCTGAGAAAACTTGAATTTCTTGGTCTTTAGACTCTGTGGAGTCTTTTCTTTTTATTCTTCTGAGGAGTCCTAATGCTTTAAATTACTTTCCTTCATATCTTCATGTGAAATCAGTTGAGTGACTTGCTGCCTATTCCACATTCCTCCCTGGAACACACAGGCTATTTAGCATGGACGAATGGCCAAAGATCCACCCAACAGCTGGGACCACCTTTGGTGAGGAGGAGTGTCTGCTAATAAACTTGTCTGTCATCTCACTGTACATCTGTACTTTCTATCTCTGAATCTCCTTTGAACTCTAGAACAAAAGCAAGCAAGATTTTTTCTTATTTTAACAGCTTATTGAGATATAATTGACATATCATTTACAGTATACAATTTGGTGATTTTTAGTATACACAGAGTTGTGCAACCATCACCATGACCAATTTTAGAATTTTTAAATATTTTTTTGAGACAGGGTCTTGCTCTGTCACTCAGGTTGGAGTGCAGTGGTGTGATCACAGCTCACTGCAGCCTCAACTTTCTGGGTTCAAGCCATCCTCTTACCTCAGCCTTCCAAGTAGCTGGGACTATAGGTGTGCATCACCATGCCTTGCTAATTCAAAACATTTTTTTGGTAGGGATGGGGTCTCACTATGTTACCCAGGCTGGTCCCAATCTCCTGGATCAAGCAATTCTTCTGCCGTAGCCTGCCAAGGTGTGGGATTACAGGCGTGAGCCACCATGCCTGGCCTGGGATATTTTTATCACCCCAGAAAGACGCCCTGTACTTATTAGCAGTCACTCCCCATTTCCCTGGAGTCTCTCCAGCCTCCAGAAACCACTAATCTGCTTTCTGTCTCTGTTGATTTGCCTGTTCTGGACATTATATAAAATGTCCATTACATCACATCAGACAATATGTGGTCTTTTGGGGCAGGCTTCTTTCACTGAGCATATTTTCAAGATTCATTCATATTGCAACATGTATAAGTACTTTTTTTTTTTGAGACAAAGTCTTGCTCTGTTGTCCAGGCTGGAGTGCAGTGGCATGATCTTGGCCTCCCAGGTTCAAGTGATTCTCCTGCCTTAGCCTCCTAAGTAACTGGGACTACAGGCATGCACCACCATGCCTAGCTGATTTTTGTATTTTTAGTAGAGATGGGGTTTTACCGTGTTGGCCAGGCTGGTCTCAAACTTCTGACCTCAGGTGATGTGCCCACCTCAGCTTCCCAAAGTGCTGGGATTACAGGTGTGAGCCACCACGTCGGATCAGTACTTCATTTTTTTTTTTAATTGGCAAATAACATTCTATCATATATCACATGCTACTTTTTAGTTATTAATTCTCTGGTTGACATTTGGGTTGAGTAAAAAATATTTTATTGCATATTTACACTGTGCTAGTACAGCAGTAGGTGGTAAGGGTGTAAAGATAAACAAGACCTTCCTTTCAGGAAATGTGAGCATAGAGTTCTATAGCTTAGAACTCATTAACTTTTTATTTTTTATTTTATTTATTTATTTATTTAAAATGAGGACTTGCCGGCTGGGCATGGTGGCTCACGCCTGTAATCCCAGCACTTTGGGAGGCCAAGTTGGGCAGATCACCTGAGGTCAGGAGTTCAAGACCAGCCTGGCCAATATGACAAAACCCTGTCTCTACTAAAAATACAAAAATTAGCTGGGCATGGTGGCATGCACCTCTAGTCCCAGCTACTTGGGAGGCTTAGGCAGGAGAACAGCTTGAACCTGGGAGGCAGAGTTTGCAGTGAGCCAAGATCGCGCCACTACAACTCCAGCCTGGGCGACTGAGTGAGACTCCATCTCAAAAAAAAAGAGTGGGGCAACTTGCTATGTTGCCCAGACAGGTCTTAAACTCCTGGGCTCAAGCTGTCCGCCAACTTCTGCCTTCCTGAGTGCTGAGATGGCAGGCATGAGCCACCACACCTGGCGGAGCTCATTAGCTTTAGAAAAACGCTTTCCTTGCAAGTAAAGAAAGGAATAGGAAGGATCACCAAGTATTAGATACCTGGGTTGGTGGGTCAGGATGAAATGGATAGAAAAGAGACAAAAGAGTTAAGAAGGAAAAACTTTATGACTATTTTGTCTATAAGTATAAAGAATTTATTGATACAGATGGTTCTAAAGGTTCAATCAAAAGGATCACAAAAGTATTTACAAAACATTAGACATTTAGTATATCTTAATATATATCCAGCTGGGCATGAGTGGCTCACGCCGATAATCGTAGCACTTTGGGAGGCGGGAGGATTGCTTGAGGCCAGGAGTTCAAGATAACCTGGCCAACATAGTAATATCCCTTCTCAATAAAAAAATAAAAATAAAATAAAATGATTTACAAAGAATATCATATGTATGAATGAGTCATGAAGTATCTAAACCGTGGGGAAAATTGGCCATAGTTCTGCCTATGGCTAAGTAGGCCTCACAGTCTCATTTCAACCAAAATACATTGAGAATCTCTACTTGCCAGTTGCTGTGCGTTGGAGATGCAAGGATGAAAAGATGACCTTGCTCTTGGGAAACTCACAGACAAAAAGGGGTAAGAAGCAGCAATAAATAATTAAGATAGAGTATGAAATTAAGATACAGTATGAAAAGTACCAAAAAGAAGGAAGTTAGAGGAAGGTACAAAGTCAGTCTCTTGAGAAAAAAGGAATAGGAAGGATCTCCAAGTATTAGATACCTGGGATGGTGGGTCAGGATGGCCATAGTTCTACTTATGGCTAAGTAGAGACCTCACAGTCTCATTCACCCAAATGAGTCTTGGGAAGCAAGACACTGACTTTGACCAAGATGTGGGTCTAGTGCTTTGG